GCAACCTGAAGGAAGTGATCCACCATTTTCTGGCAGAGAACCATGACCCCAGACTTGGAGGTGCTGACTCTCATCCCAGCGTCTTCACATGTTGGTATTCAGTTTCAAACTGCCCTACTGCTTGCTGAAGGTCACAGTCTAATGAAGCCAACAAAGCCACATGATCTGTAGAACAGAGAAGCAGTTTGCATCCCCCAGAACTAGATATTCTCCTCCCCCCAGCTGCCTCCTCAAATTCTGGCCATGAAAACCACAAACTTGGTGAAAAGGGTCAACCCTAGAATAGGCCAACACCTACCAGAATTGTGTTTGATTTCCTGCCGGGAATCAACAGTTGGTTGGAGCCTCCTTTCAAGCACACTGGCACAAGTCTGAGTGGTGTGATACCCCAATAATTCATTTTAAAAACGGGAACCACCACCTTGGTCTGCCAGTTTATAGGTACTGCCACATTGCCACAATGAAGAGGTGTGTCAGCCAAGACTGCCCAACAATGCACAGAGCTGCCAGGATCTCAAGGAAAATCTCATCCACTCAGCCACTGAGGAGTTTTTCAACTACCTCAGAGACCTCTGTTAGAGTTATTAGTGAAATTCCTGAGTCTTCTGACTCTTCATGAGAGGACATGTTGGTTGGGTTCAAGAGTTCTGCAAAGTATTCCATCCACCACCTGATGATATCCTCTGTCTGAGTGAGCAGTTCTCTTCCCTGCTAAAAAAAGCTTGGGGTAAGCCCTGCTTTCCCTTTCCGAGACCATGAACTTCCTTTAGGCCAACCGAAAGTCTTTCTCCATGGCCTCCTAGAGCTCCTCCCACACCTGGGCTTTTGCATCTGTGAACGCTGCAGCCCTTCTTGCATGCCAGTACCTGTCTGCTGTCTTGGGTGCCAGCCAGGCCAAAAGGCCTCCCCCTTCAGCTTGACGGCTTCCCTCACCAAAGTTGTCCACCTGTGGGTTGTCAGGTTGCCACCATGACAGGCACCAATAACCTTCCAACCACAACTCCTAATAGCTGTGTGCACAATGGAGACTTTGAAAATGCTCAACTCTCATTCCAAGTCCCCAACCTCCCCTGGAATGTGTGCAAAGTTCTTCCAGAGGTGGGAGTTGAAGACCTCATAGACAGGGACCTCAGCCAGAAGTTCCCAGTTCACCCTCAATACATATTTGGGTTAACCAGGCAAGTCTAGCTGCGTCCCCCACCATCTGATCCAACTCAACGCCAGGTGGTGATCAGTTGACCACTCTGCTCTGGTTGTTGTAGTGACTGACCAGTTAAAGCTAAAAATAAACATCAATTAGATTGATACCAAAGTGGAAACAATATCTCTCCTTTCATTTCAAAACAGCCTTCTGTTCCATAAAGGATCTGATATTGCCTGTTTGCATTCATCTTTTAATTTGTTTCCCTCTTGTGTCTGCAGTAGTCTATTTTCTATGGAGGCTAGATTGACCATCAGCCAGTGCATCTGTCATTTATGTCATTTTTTTCAGTGTGGCCGTGTCCAATTGACAAAGACTGGGGCTAGTCGTGGGGCGAGCAGCATTTTTTGGATGTTTCTAATTGTGCATTGTGGGATCTTTGGCTCAGCTTCCACCATTCTGAGATCAGTTATGATATGCCATATGCATTATTATACACGTGTACATGTGTATCGAAACAGTAACTGCACATTAGAAAATTACTTCAACAGTCTTTTCTTTCTAAACCTCAAGAGGTAGCAGTAGCAAGTAGGGCTGTGTATTGTCACTGATTTCCTGAATTGATTCAATTCCAATTCACAAGGTCCCGAATCAATTTGATATTCAGATATGAATGAGATTCTCAGGGAACTAATGCTGTAAATTGTTTCTCTAATGGGATGCATTATTAAAAACATTAATGTTTACATTTCAAATGGACCCCAAAGCAGTTACGTTGATGCACTATTTAACATGACCAACAGTTTAGTCAAACATCTAAAGAATGTAATGTGCATTGTTAACGTACCCCAGTGTACTGGCTTCACTGTGTATGAACAGGTAAACTTGGCTTATTCTCTCAATCTTTGGAGTTGTGGTGCATGCTGGAGGTTCAATCGTGTTCCTCATCTTCCCTAATGGCCCTACTCACCACCTCCCTACCCATCAACCCTATCAGCTTTACAAGCAACCCTGTGGTGGTCATTTGTTTCCCCCATAATCCTCTGATGCCACTTATATAATGTAGCAGAGCCGAGGCATTAAGCTGTTTAGAGACCTCTACAAAGATGGAACTTTTGCTAGTTTCTCAGATCTGTCCTCAGACTTTAATTTGCCTGCATCACATTTATTTAGTTACTTTTAAGTAAGGCACTGTGCCTCCTCTCATTTTCCATGCTTTCCTTCCCTCCCCGCTTACCAGCCATGGGAAGACGTTTTGACTCTAAAATCACATCAGAAATCACTTATAACCAAGATATATGAACAACTCTTGGCTTTTGATGTTCATTCTGATGCTAAAACTAGAATTGCTTGAGAGGAAGAGCTGGGGGTAGTTTTTACAGATCATAGATGGGATGAGGCTATAGATAGAATATGTTCAAGTACACCTTGTGCAAGGCTACAATTTATACAATTTAAAGTATTACACAGTTCACCTGTCAAAATCTCAATTATCCGAAATCTATCAAAATGTTGTAGACCAATGCCACAGAATTTGTGTCATATGTTTTTCTTTTGTTCCAGATTACAGGAGCACTGGAGTGATTATTCTATGACTTTGACAAACAATATTTGGGGTCTCTGTTGACTCTTCACATTTTAATTCCTCACAGTTAGACATATTAGGCTTACCTCTCTTTTGGCAAGTTGATGTATTTTACTCTAATGGAAATCTCCTAAGCCTCCATCTATTTCTCTGTTTAAGGATGTCATGCATTTTCTGAAGTTAGAAAAGATAATGTTCTTTGTGAAAGACACCTCAGCAAATTTTTTTCATAAATGGAACTCTGTCAGAATACTTCAGCTCCATACAAACTTTGCACCCTGGCTGACTACCCACCACCGCTGCTACCGCATACCCCCACCCCCCCACCCCCCAATTTTATTTTTTTCTTATAATTTTTTTTTTCCTTTCTCCTGTATCTACTCAGGTTCTTTATGAGCTATGTGAGCTATGATTGATATGAACACCCTCCGCCCACGTGTTGTGTCCTTCTCACATGTGCTGTTGCAAACAAATATTTGTGGCTATTGAGTATGAGTTTGAACCAGTCGGAACCGAACAAGATGATAGACTTGATCTACCTTTGTAAGCTAGACTGGAGGAGGACGTTTCAGAATGGAAATCAGAGAGGTAACCACAGCTAACAGCTAACATTTAGATTATGTGACATTATGTGCAATTTTTATATATGTGTAATTTGGAGAGAAGGTCCTGCCAACTGCTTCACCTGTCATGTTTATTGCCACCACTCTACAAAAACCCGCTGCATTTTCCATCACCACCTGCCTGTGATAACACCATATTAATGGAAATAAAGTTTTACAGTAAATCACTCGATATTCAATATTTGTCCTCTGCAGTGATTTTGCCCCAGTCATTATTTCATTGTTATAAAACAGCATTTGTTCTAATTCTCATTTTCCATTTAAGGTTGTAAGACGAATTAGCCAGATTCCAGTACCTATTACTTGCATGGTACACTATCCAGGCCTAGAGCCAAACTTTTTGTATCCATACACCCTGCAGAAAATCCGTAGTATTTATAGATATGACTATGGACCTTTTAGGCGTTGAACAGAAGAGTAAGTTATTTTTGCCTGTAATAAGCTATGACTGTGTTTAATAAAATCAAATCACTAAATTTTACTCATGTCATTTGACCCAGATAAAAATGAAGGAAACAAATATTTCAATCAATATTTACTTTAAATTAAATAGCGGCAAACATTTGTAAATATTTACATCATTTGTAAATATAGATGTATACAATTATATTTTCTGTTCACCCCCCACATAGGCGTTTCCGGCATCTTGCCTATCACAATTTTGTCAGCTGATGCTGGGGCTATTTAGGACGAAGGAGTTGTCATCCCGTCGTGTGTCGTACACCGGATACGCCAGGAGTTTCCTGATCCAGTTGCTCAGTATATTTCAAATACCAGCCTCAACAGCTCATCCATATACTCTGAAAGATATTGCTTCAGTCATGTTTTATTTTAAATTAAGTTATTTTCTACTTTCCTTGTATATGGTTAAAGCATGACCATAGTAGCAGGTTGTGTTTATTTAATAAAATATAATTCTTTAACAACTTGTATGTAGGGTCTTGATTCAGGAAACACAACCTTTTACAGAGGTTGTCCTACTGATGTTATGGCTTGCCCCCCTGTTCAGCATCCTCATTATAGTGCGCGGCTGCTAGAAACAACCTATCATAACAGAACAGCAAAATTAAATTAATAGATAGAATCTGTCATAATGCAATCATGGCACTCATCAGTGACTGTGATATAAGATGTTACAGAATAAATTATACATTGTACTACCTGCACAACATTCCCTTGACAGGGAAAACCACATTCTTTGGAGCAAAATGCAGGATCAAACTGTGGAAGGACTCCAGCGATGAGGTCTGGTATTGGTGGCTGAGCTTTTCCACATCCTTGAGAACTCTCTTGTTGTTGAGTATTTTCTCAACTTTGTGGAGTGCAATTGACCCTTGTACAAAATTACAAGAACATTAGGTATAATACCAGCCCATACAACATTACAACAATAAATTGGCAACAAACATTGTTTTATAATAATGTTGATTTTATGAAATTTCATTTTACATTTATGATTGTCATATTTATAAAAACAAAATTGGAAAATACCAGGCTGTAGCCATTTCTTTGCATCCCTTTACACTCTGTCAGGATGATCACACTTGGGGTACAGGGGGTCAACATGTAAATGGAAATTTTGAAGGTGGTTTAGCAGTGATGTCAACTTTGCCACCTTCTCCGGTCCTGTGGTTGAATAGGTCTCAGCCACCTCTTCAACACCTCACAGTCCCTGGTCTGTGAAACTCTTTTAAGTTTCTTGGACAGACCTGTGAATAAAAACATATACAATAAGTGAATAGTCAAGACATAGTTAGATGAAGACCTATTACAGTAACAAAAAGCAAAGATTATGTCTGAGAGCCACACTGTATGTTATGAAATATTGTCCAAGAAATCACTGAAAGTTATGTTCCAAGGTGTGCTACAAAAGAGGAAGGAAGTAGATTGGAGTTAAATACAGTTTTTATCAATGAGTGGGATTGGGTTTGCATATGTGACATGGGCTGTTTAACACTTTGCAATGGCCAGGATGACCATTTACCTTTTTGCCACACGTCATATAACTGTATTATCTCGCGTTCTCTCAGAAACTTCTGTATCTGTGGATGATGATCAGTAACGGTGTCCTCAACCGCCAAATGTTTTGATTCCTGAAGATCAAGGCATCTTTTAAGTCCCTCCTTCTCCATGTGGTAACTACCACCTACTCCATTGCTCTGGTGGTGAATAGACAAAATAAAATGTAAATGTGGCGCATAAAGACACTAAAGTGTGTATCAACATACTGCCATCCTAAAAAAGAAACACACCTGAACAAGCTGGAGGTCCATAATGGTGTTGCTCTCCAGGTGCATCAGAGTGTAGCTCCCAAACTTTGCTGGGTGCCCTAGAGAAAATATATTACAGAAGATGTCAAGGCTTTTAAACACAATTACAAAGATAAGCTGAATGATTTTTTTATACAGACCAGTATCTCCGTTACCTGTTTTGTCAGAGTTTGTGCTTACCTGGAGAGTCTGCTCTCATATCTCATCCAACAGCAATCTTTCCCCCCAGCTGCAGTTGCTAGAAAAGATTCTGCTGATGTATCTTCCACTTGTGGACAAAAGCAGGCTCCAGGTAATTTCTAGCATGCCTCCTTAAGGTGTCATACTGGAATATCTGAAGCTGCATGGCCTTCCATAGCTGGGTTAAGGATTAAAGTTTCAGGAAAAGTCCACTGCTGGTAAATTTCATATGCTATGGATGTTACTACAATACCCTTTCCAGTTGGATGAAGGAAGCACCAGTGAAATATGTGGCAGCTGATATCTGTAGGTTGCCAACAGGGGTACTACCAACAATGGGCTGGCTCTCCCACTGTCTGGAGTAACTGCAGTTTGGACAACGCTGAGTGAATGCCAGATAGGTCCCCATTCTTTGTCGCTGGACATCACAGTCTCTCTTACACACAGTTACACAGTTTTTAAACAGTTGTTTAAGGCAGCTTTCAAAAACTATATACTTGTCTCATTGTATGTGGCCTGTGTCTCAAACCTAACATAACAAAACAACAACCAACATTTTTTCCAACTCTGTTGAATAGAAATAGTAATATTTAGCTGATATACAAAACTTACGATATGTCAGATTGCTCTGTAAGCCCAGGGTCGTAACTCAGGTCAAGAGGAGTTAGGTAGAACTGTCTTGTTCTTCTTCCTACTCCAACTCCACCCGTGGTCTCTTGATAGGCCACAATCCTGGGCCCTTTATTGGTGTTGAGGTCAGTGGTAAAACTGGATGGTAGGAAGTTGTTTCAGTGCCAACACTGTGAGAAGAGACCCTTGCCTAGAGGTCTGTTGATCAAAGGAATAATTACTTTTCTGCTCTAGTATCATAAAAAGGCAAGTAGGTGAGCCTGAAAGATCAAATCATACATTTTAGGAAGTACAGGTGCAATATCTCAAATGCAAAACACCCTCTTAATGCCTTACTACCTTTGCTTCTCATGTGTCCTTCCTTGAGTGTTCCCCTGCACAACTGTGTACTGACTGATCTGAACTTCTTGACCGCCGCAGACTGAGTTCTCACTGAGGCAGTCTGTGGAGGACCGTCCATTTAGCATGTTGACATCTGCCAGCAGTGGAGTGGTGTTGGGTACCAGGGTCCTGCTGTGATGTACTCTAGCAAAGAAATGCAAATGATGTTGCCGATCACTCACTTTTGTATCAGATGAAAACAGTTGCCTGAATGCCTGAAATGCCACACAATACTGTACCCTGTGTAATAAGCATACCAGACATGTATGTCCCTGTATTATGCCAAGTTGTTTTGGTTGCAGAGACAGCACAAAACTGAAACTGAAGTGACAGTACAGGACATGATTTCTAAAGCAAAATTATACTCAAAGTGATAATTATCAGATGTTTATGACTGAGGAAGGTTTACATTGATTAGACTGAACTAATCAAGCTGAGAACTTTGCCTTAGGATCCATTACAGTATTCACGGTCCCACGAACCAACACTTTTTTGCAGGCAGACAGGGCTCGACACGTGTAAAAACACTGGGGGCTAGCCAGTTAGCAGAAGCTTACAGAGGAATTCGACCATAACATTACAGCTTACAGTCGTAATAGCTTTTAATATGATTCTCGCCTATTTTGGAGTACCCAGAGCCCAAAATCTGAACGGAACATTGAGGGAGACCTGCAATTTATAGGCAGTAAGCTAAGGTAAAAAAGCATACCTGCTGCCATGCGAGGTAACGAGGTATAGCATGTCAACATTGACAGTAAAGCATTTATGCCTATTGCTATGGTCACCAGCGGCTAAACGCACAGATGCACAATAATAATTCATACTTACAGGCTGTGAGCCTGAGATTCCTGTTGAGCAACATAACGTAGGAACTTAGCAAATAGCTTTTAGGTGCACTATAAAGAACCACGTGCTAGCCACGTCCTAACCAGTGGCGATTGCTCTAAGACTGCAAGGGAAGCTCAGCTTCCCCTGAAATGTCAACAAAATAAGTGGTCAAATATATACTGTTGTGTGTACATTTCATTGACTAATATGCGCTAGAACACATTCATCTTTTGTTCAGAATCAGCTACTTATCACAGGTAACCGACACGACTTCCTTCTCATTCATCCCCGCAGCGCCACAGTACTTTACACAGTGTAGACGCCGAGCGTCTACTGACTTCAATGGGGAAGCACAGAGTGGGTTGTTCCACCGCAGCGAAACTAGACGGTCATTGGATAAATGCTGGGCTTTGTCCCGCCCATCGGACGCTCAGCGTCTCTGGGGGTCTATGGGACAGTGGGCTGGCCCGGACGCTCGGCTTCTGCATGATGATTGGATGATCTGTCTGAGGCTGAGTCCCTTTTTGATTGACAGCGAAATGAGCGAATCAGCGATATTGAAGTATAAGCATCCACCGGAGCATTTTTCAAGTTTTTCATTCCGTTGTTCGGAGTTGATCTGGAGACGTTACTGATCCTCAGCGACTTTGTCTTTGTTAAAAACGACTAGCGTTGTGTTTGGCGACTCTCTTCTGTCACTCTGCGAATTTACATATAAATAAACGGACACATTTTATGATGTAGGCCGAAAATGAGCTTCCCCTCCTTATAAGACCGGCAGCCGCCACTGGTCCTAACCCTCTTAAATAATTGTGTGCCTCTTGTGGCGGCTCCCTACCTTAAAAGGTGAGAATTCTCCGCAGTAGGTCACTGGTCTCTGCAACCTTGTCTATCACTCCATCAAAGTCCAAGGACATAAGAATGTCTTTCTCTGTTGACAACATATCAGCATAAATACTTCTAAATGCTCTTGGTTGAGAGTGCTCCTAAGTCTGTTTGAAGCTCCTCCCACAGGCCACTTTGGTGACTGATAAGGTAAGGAGAAACTTGTAGGCAAATCCAATGACATGATATGCATCAGTCAAGAGATTATATCGTGACAGAATGAGATGCACACAAATAGCACAGTTTTTGCATAAAGAACAACTGCTGTCACCAGCTAAAGCTCTCCATCATTCAATCCATATTCAGGATCCTCTCTGTTTTCAGGTGCATCATCGGATGATTTTATTATCCTGTATTCTTCCAGAGTGGACATCTTCAGTCTTTCCCACTGTGTGGCAAGGCTTGACAGCTCAGCCTGTAAGGCACCAATAGTAGCTCTGGCACCACATTTCAGTAAACATTTGCTTAGCTCTTGCAGTGCTGATTCAGGCAGACCCTTTTCCCTCACTCCAGTGAAGTTTCTTGGGTCAAGGCAGGCAAAATCAGAGGAAAGTTTTCCACTGGAAGCAAACCGCTGGTGAATGCTATCTGTCACATTGTCCATTATTACATTGTGGACTCTGATCCTTTCCTCAACCTTTTTTTGGGTAACGCAACCTGCACCTCCATCTCACAGTCCTTGTCCTGCAGCTGCAGCTTATCATTTGCCCACTCCAGAAATCAGTTTGCAGCTCTTTTGACCCCACTAAAGTCCCTCTCATACTTGCTGAAGCTGTCTTCTGTTCCCACAACAGACGTGCTGTGAGGACATCCATCCCACTTGTCTACAGATACTTTGACAGGGGTGATGTGTGCTCAAAAACTCACAAAAATATTTGAGCTGTGAGAATTGTCTCATATTTCAAGAGGCCTTCTGTGTATCCTTTAGCCTTGACCCTAACAGATGGCTTCATGGTTTTGTCTTGTTATGCCTGTTGTGTCGGCCAACACCAGATTTAGAATTTGTGAATAGCACCAGATGTGAATTTGGTTGGGAGACTGTTGTGATAGAAAAGTAGAAAACCCTTTATACTGTCCCTGTATGTTAGCTGCACCATCTGTTGTGCTGCTTATACAAGAAGACATGTCCAGGTTGACTTTTTGTAGAATGTCTTTCAGGAGTTCCAGAAAATACTGTCCTATTGATGCCTCACATTCCACAATAGCAATCAACATCTCATGAATAACACCTATTACATATCTGAAGATGACAGAGCACTGGTCTTTGGAGGTTATATCTTGGGTGGTATCTAGCTGGACAGAAAACATCCCTGCATTCTCTGACAGTACTTGCAATGGTTTGTTTAATTAATTAGCTGATGACATCTACAACTTTGTTGATGGTTTCTTTTGAAAGAAGAGTAACAAGGGACCCTCTGCCCTTCCCCTAGTCTCATGCTGCCTTTTGCTCTTTTCGATGCACTCATTTAGATGCTGTTGCAAGCAAGAGTCGTATTTACTCAGGAGCAATATCAGCTCTGAAAAGTTTCCATGGTCAGCAGTATTGTCTTCAATGGTATAAGCAGCTTCCCCAGCTTTGCTTGCCCTATAACTAAGACCATGCTTCCTGATCACTTTGATGACATCCACAACACGCTCCATGACCTGCCGTTTTTTCTTAACTTGATCTTGATATAAGGACGTCTGGTAACCACTCAGTAGGCTGCTGATATCTCCTTTGCTGGCCCTAAGGAAATAAGCCTCTGCACAGTCTTTGTGTACTCTGCTTTTTCATGCTCCTCAATCCTCTGATGAACATGCTTCCAGGCTTTCATTCCTTCTCTGATAAATGAACTGTCACTAACAGAGGGCTTTGCAAATGCTAAGTAAACAGTGCAGTACAGTGAATGAGTGCCATTTACAGTTGATTCCATCCCTTCTGTGAAAAACATTTGGTAAGACTTTTCTTGGGGTTTGTTGGGGGTGGTAGTTGAAAAAGATATCAAGATCTTTGGAATGGGGGCAGGCAAAGTAATCAAATCTTTCAGCATTCTCTGCATTCACTTCATCTGTTTGAGTCACTGTAACCCTCTCCTCAGTTGTTGCTGTCTCTGTTCTGCACCCTGAGGTAGAAGCACTCTACCTGGCCATTTCCACAGGATCAGCCTCATCTATTTCTGCTTTTAATGACATAAAATAAAAACAGCTATTATTAAATGTACTATCACATAGCTTAATTTAACTTGACCACGTGATGTAATAAAAATATTTGGCCTATTTGATAATTATTGATCATACCTCCATTACTAAGTTCATCACATTTTACAATAACAATGCCTACACCCATTACAGCACATCTTGTCCGAGATCTCTACATGTTGCAATCATAACATTTGTCCTGTAATTTTCAACACAACTTGCCCCTAGAAACTGCATCCTATTATTTGCACTCATAGTATTGTGCAGTGCCAGTAGGTACACCTGTAGCTGCATTTTCTCTGCTACATAATCCTAGCCCTGTCTCATCTGGATCACTTGGCTGACTCTGTTCTGACGCTGCAAAAGAACAGGAACAAAGCATACAAATGTGACAAGCATATAACAAACAATGCGAAACAACCAGCTAACACAAGCTGTAGTAGCTAGCTGTACAAGCCGAATTTAATATCACCTGAGCTAGCACTTAGTTAACACACCTGTTTAACATACCTGCTTCAAATGAAGATCGATTTTAATCTGAGAAGCTTTCACACGAACAGCCTATTTTTTAAACTTACATATTGACAATTAACCATGTAGCATAATACTTGGCTTTTTAATTCATTTCTGCTTTTTACTTATCATATTATTTTCCTTTCTCAAAACAAAGTGGAGGGTTCTTTGTGTAAGATGTGTAGTAAGTTTGAGACAGCATATTGATGCAGGAAAATACAAGATTCTGCATCAATATTCTGCATTGTTACTGTAGTGTGTCATTGTCAATTAGTGGTAAATATTTTTAAGATTACCAAAGAAGTGACTTTTTTTAATATTTTTCCTCAATACTCCAAATTTGATATATATACTGTCAGTTCAGTTAGGAATAAGCCTAATACTTCAGCCAGGTGGAGTGCAGAAAGATGCAGGTGATAGACTCGTAAGAGGGATTTGCTACTACTACTGTCACATTCATCATAGCTGAATTGCACACTGATAAGCAAGTAATTAAATAAAAGTACATTTGTGTTAACAACAAAAAAGCTATTTTAACTACTTCATACATGTTTGTGTTCATATATGTTTGGGCCTCATAAATGTTTAATCTACAGCAACACACATTTTTGTAAAATCTTAATCTGCAAGGTAACTAAGTAGCTGTAGTGGAAAAAGTGGAGAAAAAGTCAAATATTTCCCAGTTAAATGTAGTAAAGTAGAGGGTGAAGCAGTATGACATGGAAATACATACATCAAAATCATACTCAAGTACAGTGGGCCTACCACTGAATATCGTGCTCAGGTTCCTGTGTTATACTCTGAGAAGTGTGAGTTCAGATTATTAATTTGACTGTCCATTAAATAGTCATCTTCAAATACGGCACCATTGAAATAAGATATGAATCTACACATTAATTTCTCTGATTTTGTCTTTGGAGGATAATAACCAGAAGAAGCCTATCACAAGATGAAACAGTGTTGCTGAACCGGATTTACTTGTTAAAGTTGTATTGTCTAATGATGTGGTGGTAATGGGATAGCAGACTCACCATGTAAACTCAAGATGGACTCTGGTACCAAGGTAAGATATGCAGCCAATTGCGCCGTTTTGCTTGAATTAAAAAGTATTGACCAATCCACTTCTACTGTTCCTGTCTTCAACCAGCAAAGACTGATAAAATTCTAAATTTAAGACAGAACTGACGTACATTCATGGCGATAATATGTACCTACTGTAGTATGTGGCTATATAGACCAATAGAATCACAGTTCAGAGGTCGAAGCAGAGCGAAGCGGAAGTTGTTGGCTGGCTGTCCCACTGTAGCAAGTGCAGGCAGCTTCTAGCAGGCTATTACCCTTCATATTAGCTTTTGCTGTTCGTCACTGGAAAGAAGAAAACGTGACAAGGTTAGTAATATACGGAAGATGACGCCGGCAAATGCAGGGAAATTATTTTCACCGGCATCGCCCTTGAAGAAGTGGATAAGCTAACGTAAAGAAACCCGGAAGTATTGTTGTAAGTATTGAAGGTAGCAAGCTTTCTACTGTAGCTTTATTGTTTGGTTGAGAAATTAAAGCCAGCGACGACAAATAGTCGCGTCATAAGCAGACATCGATTGTTAGAATTGCCACTTCAGAGTTTTTACAGGCTTAATTTATGATAGCTAATTCAATGACAGCTTCTACGTCTTCTAAATCGATAGAAACCGGCTGCTTGATGTGGCCTAGCTAACGTCATACCTTTTAATAAATGCATGGTACATGGGCTAAATATGCATATCAGGTACTACTTATGGTGGATGGGTAGTTGAATGAAATGCAGCGGGGGGCTTGGACTATTATGATTTGTTTTTTCGGATGAAAACTTACGCTATAGAGCATATATATGTTTCCCTAATGATACATGTATGTAACATTCCCCTCCAACATACAGTACATATTGACTACGATTAAGTAATGTGACTGTGATTAGTAAGAAGAGAAAGAACATAACCACTCATTCTTCAGAATGAAAAACAACATTGTTTTTCTAACTATAGTCAGGAATAACACATAACAATATGAATGCTTTACATTTCTGAAGTAAGGGTGTTGTGGAATACATGAGAACTGCTATATATCAGCTGTGTTATGATGCAGTTTTATTCAGTTTTATATTTAGCATAAATATAGTTCTGTGCAGTCTCTGTGACACGGAAAACTTAGGAGAATAAGTGTTCCGTGTCACAAGAGACTGCAGTGAAAAAAACTGACTGGCACTATTGTTCATTTATTGCATGAATTGTCAATTTGCATACATTTTCTGGGATGGTTACCATACCATTAAAATCTCATACCGTTGCAACCCTAGCTTGAAGCTTAAGCAGGAGAAAATGACATCCAAGATGATTGTTATCTAACTACCTCTTCATGTTCCCAAAGCTCACAGCAACCGTAAACACAATGAGTGCCAAATATGGCCTGGTGAGCTACAACAGTTCACGGAAGCACATTTCAATATCCATCCCATCGACCACGGAAGTGATGTCGCCCCACATAAAGTCTGTGGAGGAGCTTAGAGTTCTGGGAATCAACCTGAGCAGCTTCAGCGCCCCTTCACAGTTTTTCATCTGTGTGGCTGGAGTCTTCCTCTTTTACCTTGTCTATGGATACCTGCAGGTAAAAAAGGGATAAAGACTAAATCTGAGGGATGTACTCGAGAGATGTACACACACACAAACACACACACACACACACACACACACACACACACACACACACACACACACACACACACACACACTGTGTCTGTTTGCATGGACAGATACAAAAAACAGCAATTTAGCCTTATTTGTTTGCACAGTTAAAATATAGTTAATACACAGTTATATGATATGAACACAAAACACTTACATATATACAAGCAGGCTTTCATATATCCAGATACAGATGAAGATATACACGTATCCAAAGTAAAACAGAGCTTTACTGTTACTACTTTTTTTTATATATGTGTGTGATTACACTTAATTGGCAGTTTATTAGGTACACCTAGCTAAAACTAAGGAAATCTAATACAACATTCACGAAGCCTACCTTCATGAAGGTTGTTATAATCTGTTTTTATTACCTCCACCAAGGAGGATATGTTTTCACCTGTGTTTGTTTGTTTGTTTATGTAGGGCATATGCAAGGGAGGAACACATTAATATTGGTGCAGGTTGAAGAGGAAGGGCAAATTCTTTGATCACTTTCCGTAACATTGCAAGATAGGACCATTTTCGTAGTTTCTCAGGAAATAATGCATGTATGTTGATGTAAAAAATCTGACATTTATGATGTTGAGATCTGTCAGTTTTCACAATTTTGTGCAGATCCAGATAATCAGGATCTTGTTGAAGAAAATGTTAAATATTAGAAACATTTGTGTGTATAGTCTTAGCTAGGTGTACAGTGCATTCAGAAAGTATTTAGACCCCTTCACTTTTGTCACATTTTGTTATGTACAATATACACTCAATACCCCATAATTACAAAGCAAAAACAGAATTTTAGAAAATTTATCAAAAAGGAAAAACTATCATGTTAACATACAAATGGGTAAAAAAATAAAGGGGAAAAAAAACCTAATGTGTCCTAGTCAGGTGTTGGGTCACCACAAGCTGCCACAACAGCTTCAGTGCACCTTGACTTGACACTACAAATCTTTGGAACTCTGCTGGAGGGATGAAAACTGTTCTTCCAAAAGATATTCCCACATTTGGTGTTTTGATGACGGTACTGGAGAGCACTGTAACTAACACGTCGGTCCAAAATCACACATAGGTGTTCAATTGAGTTGAGATCTGGTGACTGCAAAGGCTATAGCAGATGATTCATATTATTAATAAATCGGCAAAAATATTCAAAATTCTTTTTTCGATTTAAGGCAGCAACATAACAAAATGTGAAAATAGTGAAAGGGTCTGAATACTTTACTTTCTGAATGCACTGCACCTTATAAACGGCCAACTGAGTGTGAGTGTGAGTGTATACATGTGGTTTTTTGTAAGTGTAGCTGTGTTTCTGTCTATGTAATTGGACAGAAAATGCTGGTACAGCATGTCATGTAACCCATAACACATAAAGTTTGCATTTCACAAAATGGGACTCAGAAGGATGTCCCCCATCCCCCCACCCCCACCCCCACCCAGGAGCTGATATTTTCTGTGGAAGGATTCAAGCCTTTTGGTTGGTACCTCACTCTGGTCCAGTTTGGCTTCTACTCCATGTTTGGACTAGTAGAGCTTCAGCTCACACAGGACAAACGCAGAAGGTACAGCTACAAAATAACCATTTAATCAAAAATTCAACTTGGTCACTTATTGGTAATTTTCTTTTTCTTTTTAGTGATACCATAATTTGCATTTAAAGATTGTATTCCTTTAGGATGTAGTATACTGCATATTTATTGGCTTATGTTTTTGACAAAATCAGTGATGATCAATTTTTGCTGAAGCAACACAGCAGTTAAGCAGGGACATCAGTTTCAGCTACTTTATATTTTCTTGTCTTTTAGGATACCAGGGAAGACCTATATGATCATAGCATTTCTAACAGTGGGAACCATGGGCCTGTCCAATACCTCGCTGGGCTACTTGAACTACCCTACACAGGTCATCTTCAAGTGCTGTAAACTCATTCCTGTCATGATTGGAGGAGTGTTTATACAAGGTCAGCTCATTGTACTATATATGTATTTCTTCACAGACCTTAACAGATACAGCTATATACGTATGTACATGATTGATTAATGTTCAGCTTTGTGGCCATTAATATTGCAGCTCTCTTTGTAATCCTCTTTATTACTTGTTATGAAATAATTTTATCTGTGCTTGACATCTCAGCTCTGTGCTTTGAAATCGTCTGTTATATACTGTATATTTGGTAAAACAAGGCTTGTCAATTGTGTTAACTCTGTGCTGGCTTTGTGCATTAGTTTAAAGGTTTAAGTGAAGTGAGGATTTTGAAGTCCATCCTATCTACTCCATTCAATACCCCACAGACCTAGATTTTTTTATTGTGATCAGATGACAAACACATTAGAATAAAATTTTTCATTATTGAGACAATCTACACGTATACATGTGAATTAAGCTTACATTTGTATATTAAGGATTTTTTTCTCTGAATCCCTGAATCAAAATCCGTTAAAGTAATGCATTTTTATTTGGTACATACTTTTAAAAAGTATTTAAAATGAAGGGTGCATCATCACTTAAAGCACTGAATTTTCAATTTACATGTTTTCCTTAGAATGGGTTGACCTTAATAACTCGAGATGTGGACTTTGGAAGGCTCATGTTACACCTCATTTTAGCCATTGTCCATGGTTCCTTTGAAGCAATGACCACCTTTCAACTTTCAGTACCTCCTTTTTCTCCACGTCTGTTGTTTTTCGGCTGTCAGAGGCCAATCAGCGGTACTCACTGTTTCTCCCTGGTCTTGGTTCTGTCTGTCCTTTCATCCTTACACTGGGCTTCTCAAGGTTCTGTGTCCTCAATGTCAGACATGTTTTGGGCATTTTTGCCTTCTTCCTTTTCTCCCTGGATGGATAGATGTGAAGACCATGGTCCCTCAAGGGCTCCAGTGGAAAACAGAATTTGTTAACTTAGAATGTAAAGTGGAAAGAAAGTGGGAGAGAGGGGGGGATGGTTGGAGGTACGGGTGTGGGGTTGCATCTGATGTGAGGCCCTTCAAAGGCAAGTCAGGGAATCAAAGCCGACCACAGCCAACCTGATGCTGCGTCCCCTTGTCATCCTCAAGGCATCCGTCCATCAGCTTATTTTTTGGTTGACTCCTTCATCCTGTTGTTTTTTTCCTCACTTTTACTTTTTCACACAGCTTTTTTGTGCATTGTTACATGCATAACATCAGAAACCTTGAATTGTGAGGAGTACATATCGTAAAAACTTTTATTAGTTATATTTTTACCTGAATCTATTGTTAACTACTTTTATTTAAAAAAAGAGGTGGGGCATCTTTTGAAAATTTCTTTGCAAGCTGTGCTTGAGGGAAGGTTGTCTCGCAGTGCAATGTCTGAGTTTGGTTTCTCTGCATTTGTGATGTTGTAAAAGGTTTTGAAAGTTGTACCAGTACCATGCATTTCACTTTAAATTTCGCACTGGTATGATTTCTTTTCCTTGGTTTCCTATGCAAAGTTAAAATTGGATTTAGGAGATTTTAGAAATTTAGGATTTCAGTTTTCATAATCAGTGTTTGTGTTCCAGGTAAACGCTATAATGTGGCTGATGTATCCGCTGCTCTCTGCATGAGTCTGGGACTCATCTGGTTTACGCTAGCTGACAGCAAAGTGGCCCCCAACTTCAACGTCACAGGTAATATCTCTTCGATCCAACAGCAAGTATCCACATCATGCTGTATTCTTAAGGTTAGACCACAAAAATGTGGCTGTGTAGAGACTGTACAGCTCTATCTTTACAAAAAGAAAAAAAGAAACTACAGCTACAGCCACAATCAGATGTGTTGTTTCATCAGAACAAAATTGAAAGTGTCAAGTCATTAATTTCTTCTTAGCTGTTAATACATTAAAAAAAAATTCATTTAGTTAAGAAGACTCATTGAAAGTCTAATACTAGTATTTAGGTTTAATTTCTGCCTCATCATACATTTGTATTAGAATCTAAGATTTTTGATTGGCACTTTGTTATCGATCACAATATAATTTTACACTGCCTATAAATAATAATGAATAATAAAGGGGTTAATTTAGGCTAGTTTTATCACAAAACTCATCTCAGGGCATCGTGGTAGCCCAGTGGTCTTACAATACATTCAGTGATACTACTGTGTTACACTGACAGGTCTTCTGTCCTAGCCCATTCCAACCACTCATACCATGTATTTAGTTTATCAAGTTTTAATTTCCATGTCCTAAAAATGTGTGTATCTATATGTTTGTGTGTTTGTGTGGCATACAGGTGTGCTCCTCATCTCCCTGGCACTGTGTGCAGACGCCGCCATTGGAAATGTGCAGGAGAAAGCCATGAAACTCCATAATGGCTCGAACTCTGAAATGGTACCCTATGTAATGTATATAATGTGCTGTGCATTATGTATATATAAGTACACACTTAAATATAGAAGTCAATTGAGTAGATGTGTGCATACAAATATCAGAGATAAATGCAGAATATAGAGCACTGCTTGACTGTCCTTAAAACCAGACCGTGTCCCATGTTGTGGTTGTGAGAATTGTGCTACTTGTTATAATGTTTGATGTCACTGACTGAATATATTTTGTTGCATTGACAGGTGCTGTATTCGTACTCCATTGGTTTTGTCTACATACTAACTGGCCTGCTCTGTGTGGGTGGGCTAGGGACAGCAGTGGCTTTCTGCTCAGAGGTGAATATAGCTTAAGACAATAGCCCTACTTCATGTAGCCGCATACAGACTCAGGGGTCATTTATGTATTCAATGCATCTTTCAGTTGCAAAACCCTTGGCATACTGGATCTCATGTGTCTTTTTCAGATATGCTGAATTATTTGTCCTTTATACATTATCATTATAATCTTATGCATTACTGCTCCTGTATAGATAGTTTTTAATTTAGGTTATATGTTCCCCTGCATCAGGAGGATGCAATGTTCAGTAATTTTTTTATATTAAGTTTGTTAAATAACCTTTTATTTCTGTCCTCTCTACCAGCATCCTGTGAAGACATATGGCTACGCCTTCTTCTTTTCTCTTACTGGTTATTTTGGCATCTCTTTCGTGCTGGCCTTGATTAAGCTGTTTGGTGCCCTGGTTGCAGTGACAGGTTAGAAGAATAGTTTGTCAAACTTTATTTGTTATTCTCTTTTCTTCCCCTCTCTTTTTCCATGGTAAAAAAAGAAAAGTCATACCAAAAGAGTGGCATAGTTTTAAAAAGTTTGTACTGGTGCAGACAGAAAACAGTGTAAGAACTCACAATATTAAAAAAAAAAAAAAAATCCCACAACATTATTATATTGAATAAAAATATGTTTATTCCCCAGCCAAAGATGCAAAGCATCTGTTTGAATACAGTAGCACACCTCTGGCCCTGTTCAGACCTGGTATTAACATGCGTCTTCCGATCACAAGTGGTCAGCCATAAGTTTGTCAGTTCACACCTGGCTTTTAAAGCTATCTCCACGTGCACTTGTGATTGGATTCCCCGCTTTATATGCAAATAAACAAGTATGCAGTGTTGTTTTTAGCCAGTCCACATATGGGTCCGTTGTCAATGTGCTTGTATGTGTGTGAGTGAGAAAGAGTGAGAGAGAGAGAGAGAGCGGGGCACAGAGGGGTCTTATAATGAAATAAAGTTTTATCAATTTGAAATAGTAAAATATTTTCTGTGGCAGGACTAATCAGACTGTGGCAAAGGAGGACAGTTAAGCAGGCAGTTCTTCAATGTGGCCAGGATGCATTTGCGTTCACACTACTAAAAGAATGTGGACACATGTGGCCCAGATCACCTCCGAATGTGGTCTGAGTGATCGGATCTCAAATGCGTCCTCAATGCTTCTTGGGTGTGTTCAGACCTGTACTTAGAGCTGTCCACTTGTAATCGGATCACCCAAGACCGATGTTAATAACAGGTTTGCACAGGGCCTCTGTGTAATATCACTAAAATGTAAAGATTCAGAACTGTACCACTTTACAATAACTGAATTGAAGTGCAGGATATTTGATCTCATATATAACGGAAAACAAACAAGTTGAAAATAGAGGCCCCAAAGTACAACCTTAATGCAACAAAAATCAGTTTACCTGTGATTACTACAACAAAAGTGATTGCACTTTTGATTTCCAGTCTTATTAGATGGACAAGGTTATGAAATAACCTGTGACACCCCAGCTTCCTCTGAGGCCAGTTTTGGCCTCAGTTACATGTAACACAATAGGGCTCCATATGGTGAGGAACTGCCTGAACATAAGAAACTACATTGTGACACTTCATAAAGATGGGAGAGGTTACAAGAACAAAAGGCTATTGAACATAGGCTGGAACACAGGTGCAGCCGTGGTTGAAACACAAATACATTTGTTTGGTTCAGACAGTGTCCAGCATGTTTGGTTTGGACCTTGCCAGGACCACCACAGTGACTGCAAAGTGCAGACCGTAAAGAGTGTGCTGCTGTGGGGTTGCCTGAGTGCAAAAGGTGTAGGACAGATGACATTTAGAGATGGCACTATCAGTGCATGTTTGTTTACCCAAATACTGAATGAAAGACTCCCAGTCTTGAGAAACATGGCAGGAGAGGAACTTTCCTACATCACAACAATACCAAACATTGCAAAAATGATTAAAGTTATTAAAGGTGAAAACTATGACCTGGCCAAGTATGTCCCCTAATTTGAATCCAATAGAAAACCTTGGAAGTATTTTAAAGCAGAACGTTGAGCAATAACACCCCTCCAGCAAAGTACAGCTGAAAAGAATAATTTGTGAAGAATGACAGAACATCTCTCCAAAGCTGCAAGACTGGTGTCATCCATGCCAAGAAAGATTGAAGCTGTCATCACAAATAAAAGTAGACCTAGGGGGTACTGACATTTTTGCAGTTGGTCCTCAAATTTGAACATTTAAGTTTAATTTAATTAGTTAATTAGTTATTGCTTACTGTATGACCCAGGTTAGAAAGTTACATCTGTTAAGCTTTTGTTTCATATTTGTAATTAAGTAAATAAACTCATACAGCTAGCACTGATGGTACCATGAATGTTTTACTCCTTTGCAGTGACCACCGGGAGAAAGGCCATGACTATTGTACTTTCCTTCATGTTCTTCACAAAACCTTTCACTTTTCAGTAAGTACTTGCACCTTTTGACTTTGATCAGTTTTCTTTTTGTTTAAAGTGAGTCTATAGTGTGACCACTGACCTCTCCTTTGACAAATAAAACTTGATTTGGCTTCCCTGTGCCTGGTTTTCATGTCCTCAGTCCATTTTCAGACTTTGCTGCTCTTTTTTCCTTGTCCTTCACTCTCTTGCTCACCCTCTTAACTCCTCTGTGCTGTCAAAGAGGTCTTGTTTTTAGCTGTACCTCTCTTGCTGCTTCTCCATCGTGACTTTCGACATGCATCGTGACTTTCGACAAAAAACTTTTTTGTATCTTCATGGCCACCCCACTTCTCTCTCCAGCTCGTGTTTGCCCTCCACTGGACTCACGGTCCCTTCATGGCTACAGTTTGCACTACCAAGAAAATACAGTATATGCATTGTCAGTAAACTCCTGGTTTGACACAAAATTTGATTTGTTTACCTTTTTATAGGAAAACTATATAGATCGACTGGTAAATTGAAAGCTTTGCCTTTTGGCTGTCTCCTGGGTCAACTGGGTTGAAATATGGTGGCTGGTCGTCTTGGTATCATTTGAGTTTTATAGATTCTGATTCTGATTCTACTTAACAACTCCACTTCTTATCGATTCCCTGTTTAGATTTTTATTCTTTTAGGCATTAATTGAACAGTCACAACACACACATATAACTGCTAGTTGTTTCTTATTTTAGTGTTCTGGTGACAAACACATGCATCTCTTTGCCCAATATTTTACAAGTCAAGGGCATCACACAGTATTCACCCAAGTAGAACACCTTGCCCAGAGGTTAATATTAACAGTCAAATCAAGCAATGTACAAGAAGAAAATAATGTTCTGGAAAATGACCAAGAATCACTCAAAAAACATGAGAGTGAATGTCAAACTGCACTTGTTGAACCAAAGATGAACTGATGCCTGGACCTATGCACAGTAGCTGAGCTTTATTTTACACTGGGGCAGCAGCAGCAGCAGCATGGCATCAAACAGTGCACAGTTTTTCAGATGCTGTGCTGCTTAAAATTTTTGGTCAGATTTGATGTGCAATTAGGTTCAACTTGCAGCTAATTAGCTTACCTACATACTCATACAATTTTGACCACTTGCCATGGCCCATCTTTCACATTGTTGTAACGTTAGCCCTGCATGCTAGCATGTTTTTTTATGGAGTTAATTATATTGAGTAAATTTTAAACTTTTGCAGCTGTCTAATGGCACACCAGGCTCTGCTGTCCCTCACCTGATGCTGTGCATGCTCGTATCAAAACAAATGGACACACCGATGCGTTGATGCATGACAAAGTCACATAGACAGATACTCTCTTAAAAACACTGCTCACTAGCAGTATTGGTCAAAAACTCCATATGGTCCCTTTTAAAGTAGGAAATCTGATCCATCAGCATCTTACTGAGCCCTGCTCTACTTCATACTGTAATGCCAGTTATTACACTAACCTTAATTTGCATTTCCCCACGTTCGCATTTTGGGGTCAACTTCATTTTCTTCCTTTCTTTAACTAACCTATACATCCCTCCCTCCTCAGGTACATCTGGGGCGGCCTTCTGGTGCTGTTCGGCATCTTCTTGAATGTTTACAGTAAAAACAAAGAGAAAATCAAGCTTCCTTCCATCAAAGACCTCAGGAGCCTGCTGCTGACAGGAAAGAAAGTCCGATTTCTCTCACAAAATGTATAGGAGGCAGACTGTATGTCTGGTCAGATGTAGCGATGACCCCAATATCTCAGGGGATATGCTCAAGCATATGCCTGAGCTATGGGCCTTATCACCACCAACATTGAGCCAAGGATGTGTATACAAGGTATGCAGTCAGCCTCACAGACAGATAAACAACCATTGAACTACGATGGGTGATGGAGTCTCTATATCCTGTCTACCAGTACATCATTGGTGTAGAACTGGCTGGAATTGCTCTGTAGCAAACCGAAAGAACTGTACCTATTTTTAATAGGGGATCAATGACTAGTGGGCAATGGTAAAGCAATGCTTCGGAGCCCCACAGAAACATTTTCAACATGGAGGATAACACCAAGAACTTTTAAGACTCTGAAAAGCGAAGCCAACGCCTTAGCTAACCAAATCGCACAGTTTTGCACTGGAAATGGCTCATGTACTTAAACACTTCAGTGGTTGGAAAAAAACTGAAATTTTGGAAGGAAAGAGGCCAGAGAGACATGTTAATGTGTCATGTCTGAAATGAATGTTTGATCCCCATCCTAAAAGAAAATATATACTGAAAAATGGCATATTTGTCTCTGCATGTGCCAGAAATACCAAACAAAAATTAGATTTACATAATTGTCTTCATAAAAGTGGCTTTTTTCATAGTTTATTGGTAATTTATAGCTGACTGTGCCCTCAATCATGGAAAACGTGTGATGGTGACATTCTGGAGAATATGATGACATTTGCTCAACTGTACATCAACGTCAACTACTGTTATTTGCTAACCATGTGTGTGGATGAAAGTACCACTCTTTTTACAATAAACAAACGTTTCTCTTAAAGTTCATCCCAGTATCCTGTGTGTGTGTCTCGTCAGCCAGCCCTTATTCTTTCCCCTTGCACCGCTTGGGAGAAGAGTTGAAATGTTGCCAAACTGTGTGTTTATCCATTCAATGGCCTCGGGCATGTTTGATTAGGAGTCCAGAAAAAAAGATAGCACTGCTAGACAGAAAATAAACAGCAGTCTTCACTGTGCCTAGGCTATTTGGATCTAACCTGTGTATGTATGTTATTTTAAATATTACTGTACACTTGGTTTAAATGGGGGAAATGCAGTCCAACGCATTTGTAGTCATTTCCCAAGAGACCTGCACTATAACAAGTTTCTGTAGTTTTCAGTTTACATGTGATGTAAACAGCTCCGCGAGACAGCAATAATCGTGCAACACAACGAATGGATAGTGAAATTCGTTGCCAACACTTAATCGATTTTTATTGATTCGTTGTTGCAGCCCTAATCACAATACATTCATTTTGAGCGGGACTTTTGAGCGGAAATTTGTCTTTGGTGACATTTGGCGTCATTTTCAACTCAGATGTTTGTTATCAGGCAGACAGAGGAGGACCGAACATCTCTACAATCTAACTGTTACACAAATGATGGGAGTATAACAGTTATGCTAGACACCTGCCTTTCTCCACACAATTTTATTGCAAGACCTTATGGACAGGATTTCCACACTCTTTCAGCCTTTGACTTCAGCAAGGTAACTACTCATTATTTTGCAACTGTGAGTCAATTTAGCACAATTTTTTCATGTAACGTTACCTGTGTGTGTAACTTTAAGAGCACAGTGAGAGAGAAGTAGAGAGACGCACCTTCCTTGGCAGGTAATCTACTCTGCACAATGTTACTAAAATAAACTATCCTATTTCCACATGAAACTTGGATAGATTTTATTATCTGGTGACATTTAGTTGATAACACTATTAGTCTGGTGTAGGAGTAACATAATTGAAAGAAAATTAAATCGGAATCGCGTGTATGTGTGAGCGGTTGTATGTGTGTGTTGGCACGCTAGCTAGCTAGCTCCGTTTAATGAAGTTTGTCACTTGTTTTTCTCTCAGTAGTTATCCTGAGGCCTGTGTACCAAATACTGGAGCAGGCAAAGACAAAATATGATTTTACAACAGGTAAGGCATTTAAACAGCACACCATTTTTGATAGAATCGTGTGTTTTCTGAGCTTCATTGTGGGACGAAAAGTTAGATATATTTTGCTAGCCTGACTTGAGGTTTCGTTCCCGACTTGTGGAACCATAATAAATACCAATTGTAAAGTTTCAGGTTATTTATTCCACCATTTGGCTAATTTCTTTCAGGTTGAGTATTTCCAATTTAGTGATACTAAAGAAAATATCACCAGCCATTTTCTAACACTGAGTTGCACTAGATTCTGTAATATAAATGTGCTAATATTATTGCACCAACTGCTGGACATATTAGTTATGTTTATGGTAGTATTTGAGGGGTGACCTAACATGTTATCTAATGTTATGTCAGTATTGTATTTCACATTTTTAGGTGTGTTTAAGTTATTTTGCTCTTTATGTTAAATGTTAAACCCTATCCTATCAGGTCAAATTCTGAGCACCGTTCACTTCATTTTCAGGAGAGTCCATTCTAGGAGCGAAGAAATAGATGGTTAAAGGTGACCAAGTTTTTTATCCTTGGCTGGGGTAGTGTGTGATGTTTTGTAAGGATAAATCCAGAGCAGAGTAAGTGTGCAGAAGAATCCAGGTGCAGAAGAACAGGCAAGATGATCCAATGAAAGAATGAGTCCCTCAATCCACATGTGACATGGGTGGGAGAACAACCGACCAGCCAGGTGAGACTTCATTTAATTCATTTTTAAAGGTAGGCAAGTAGTAATTATGGTTAAGCTTAGAGTTAGTCTTGAGGAAGTGAACGTAAGTCACTGTACTTCTCCTCTGAAGCCATGGAGACACAACTGTGTTTATGTGTGTGTGTTATGTACCGTTGTACTATGCTACTGCACTTAAATAAATTTCTACATCAGCAACTAATTAGTGTGAATGTTGAGGCACTCTTTTGTTCTGCAGTCTGCTGGGGCAGCAGCATGTCAGATATGAACACAAAGAAACTGGACAAGCTGGTTAAAAAGGCTGAGTCTGTGCTTGGCAGGAGTCTGGACTCACTCAGGACTGTTGTGGAGAGACGTCTCTAAACTGTTTTCACTGGAAATTTGTTTCAGTCGAGTTGTAATCAAGAAGCATGCGGCAGTTCATTTCAGTTTGTCATTCTAACTGACGCAGAAACACACGTAAATACAGACAAGCAGAGAGGCACACGCACACAAACACATGGACAGAAAGCTGTTTGCAAGTTAGTACTCCTAGAGGGAGACAACATGACAACAACATATTGCAGTTCTCAGGTTTTGTAGGTAATGGAGTTCAGCTCCTCCAGTCTAACATTTTGTCAGTCTAATTTTTTCAACTATTTTAGCATTGTGTTACTAATATTCTTCAGGTGTGAAATTACAAATTTTGGTTGTACATGTCTTCTTTTTTATTTTTATTTTTTTTCACCCAATTTAGGCCATTTAGCTTTCAACTAACATGTTCATCTGTTTTTTACATGTTATGTATTTTGTACAGTTTTGTGCTTTTTGTTACACTTTCCATGAACAACTCAGGCCTTTTGCAACCATTCAGGACATTCAACCTCCAGCTTACAAATTGTACTTTTATTCTTCAGCTATTGCTTCAGCTACTTCAGCGTTGCTTCAGCAATCTCACTCAGCTCTCACCATTCACACACATTTTCAGCAGGAAATGCCTTTTCTAGTTCCTTTTTAATCCTTTCATTACAGGGAAGAAGACTCCAGCCCAGGAGGATGATCACAGAAAGAATTATCCAGTTCAGGGAGAAGAATACAGTTCAGAAACAGTATAGTCAGTCTTGGACTTTTTATTGCTTTAAATTCTTCAGTTTTTAGTTCATATTTCACTACCACATTTTTATACCTTTCCACTTTTACCTGAACATTTACTCACTTCCACTGTTAGGAACTTAGTGTTTCGTTTGTAAAAGTTTATTGAAAATATCTTGGGCAGTTTTCTACACTGATGTTTATGTGTGTTTTTTCACACCTAATCAATGTTACTAGGAGACGTGGCTCTTTTATATTTGTCTCTAGAAGTACAGTCAAATTAACTAAGACCCAGAAAATAAATGCAAAAATGTCTGTTAGAGTAGTCTAATATTTACCGTGATAAACAATACAGCACCCTACTACTGTGATGACAATTACAGTACTATAATTATTATTGTAATAAAAATGACAGTATTATATAGATACTGTGGTTACATTTACAGTAAGCATACTGTGGAATGTACTACAGCAACTTACTTACTAATTGCTGCCAGCTAGTTACTGTACATTTTACAGTGTCTCTTACAGTGTGTGCTTGTCCCGTTTTATTCACTTGTAATAACCTGATCTTAATCAGTTATTTTGTATTTTGTATTTTGTCTCTCATTTAAAATATGTGAATTGTTGACAGGTGCATAAATTCTGTTCAGTTGGGTCAAGTTGCATCTAAAAGATTTGTCAAGCATTATCCATATATTACTCTGTTTAAATAGTTATTTAAAAACATACAGTTAAAATGTATAAGTTACTTTTAAAAATGGTTCAGTTCATTACCAAAAGAAAAGCATAACAGTAATTTTCATTTATATTGGAGAATTAATGACCTGGATGTTTTTGTCTTCCGGTTGACCTTTGTGTGTTCACGTGGGGGATACAAAAAAAAAAGAGACAGAGGAGAAAAAACGGATGATGGGCTAGCAAAAGAGCTGCATTTGTGGGAGAGTCATTGCCGACATTTTTTGGTTATTGTGGTTTTCATGTTGGACTGTGTAAATCTTGCTACTGAAGAAAAAGCTTGGAGGTGACTTTACCAGAGTTGGGACAGTTTATTAATAACGTGTTTTTCCCGCTACCGAGAGCGTCGAGTTAGCCACGTTAGCTCATTACAGCTGCCGCCGTCGAGGGAGAGCGGTCGGACATCGCTTCATCTGCACAGACGAGAGGAGGAGACTGGTCGGGAGGAGCTGCAGCGGCCGTCGCAGACGTTTTGCTGAGGCCGGAGACCATCTGCTTGCTGTCTGCTGCTGTTGGGAGAGTGGATGCTGCTGCTAACTGTTGCGGGCTAAGCCAGGCCTGACGAGGAGGATTTTCACGGAGGTGGTAGGAGCTGTTTCATCTCTTCTAATGGAGGTAAACAGTACTGCGTCCTGGTTTTCATGAGCTCCAACATAAAGCGCGCCAACGAACTAATGCAAGCTTGTGTGGCAAGAGCGTGGCGGTCATAGATTAAATTGTTGCCGAACAACGCCACCTGGGGAATTGCACCCCAGGAAATAACAATTTATACACTCAAAACTAAAAGGCTACGCAAGTTCACAATCACCACGGGGCAAAGACCATGTTCATAATTCAACTTTATTCACAATAATTAGTAAAATGATGTTCCTAAATGCTGTCTAAGCACATAATGTTAGACGCGGGGCCATAGGAAAAGGGGAATGGACGGTGCTGGGTTACCTCGGCGGCCCGAAACCAATGAGGGAGGGGAGAAACTAAAACACCCGTGACACTGCACACACACACAAACGGAAAACGTGAAGAACCACCACCAGGGATTGGGTCGCCGTCCGGAGCCCACAGCACCTGTCCACAGAGAGAGAGAGAAAAAAGGAGGTGAATGCTATAATAAATAGATCTGAAAGCGTTCCTCATATCACGAGCCGGTGGCGAAAGGGTTACACACTGTTTATCGTACTCATGTTTTCAAGGCCTGTTCAACAGCAGAGCTCTTCTGATGTTCAGCACTAGATATGGTGAAAACAGTATTGGTATCTCTAAGAGGGGGGTTTAAAATGGTTCCATGCTTTCATACAGCTTAATTTTACAGGTGAGACAGTTACCTGTGGTTCTGTGATCCTAAATGTGTGAGCATCATTCTAAAGATCAAG